TGCATGACGATGTCGTCCCAACCGTCACCATTGATGTCAGCAAAGGCTAGCCGGCTATGATCATTGATTGGAATTGGATTGGGCGGGTTGACAATATAATTCTGATAAGTAATACCGCTTTTTGCCGAAATGTCGATAAACGATGATTCATTGCTCACATTAATAGAGACTATAAGGTCTGCTAAATTGATACTGGCCATGTTATTATTAGCTACGCTAATCGATTCCGTTACGCATCTAATGATAACCATCACAATGACGAGAAAATAAACTAACATTGCAAACTGAGTGTTCTGAAAAGTAAATAAAAATAGGCTAACCTATTAGTCATCAGATACCCAGGTCCATCAATCCGATACCGGATCTCATAGGATCTTGTAAGATCCGACCAGCCGACAAAATCCTATAGGAATCCGTGGAACGGAATCACGTCGGATTCCCGTCCGATGAATCTTAATTGCTGCAAATTTTATTAGCATTCATTTTATCAGTACTAGATAACGATCTTGGAATACTATCGGATCCAACTGTCGGATCTCTTACAGGATCCGATCGGATCCGACTACTGACGGGATCCGACGTGATTCCGTTTCACGGATTCCTGTCTAATCTGATATTATTCTATCGGATACCTGTAGGACACCTATCGGATCCGATAAGATCCGACTATCGGATTGATCGACCTGGGTAGACAGCACATAGTATACCTGAAGAATTATTCATCGCGCTGGTCTAACTTCAGTCAAGTTCAAAGCGATCAAACTCGGTACAGAGCTTATACAGCACATAGTAAAACTCAGGCTTGCAGTCTACTAGAATCTCAATGTCCAGGATTCGCACGTAAGTGCTGATTATTGATAGTTACACCTCTTACGAACTGTCTACATACTGACGTTGAATATCATGCTGTTGGAGTCCTGTGAGTGATAGTGCGCCAAAGATCATAGTTTTTGAAAGAAAATACGAATCGTGTAGTCGCCTGCGCACAGATATTTAAAGATCGATCTATCTTTTGCCAGGGTAGAGCTCACGCTATTCTTGTCATGATGAATAAATCGCATGACATTTTGTTATTTGTCCTCGAATTACATCAAGTCAGATGCTTTTATCTTATCGGTTCTAAGTGACACAACATCAGCGACCGAGTTCGAGAGTTAATTGTGATACTATTTAAAAAACTACTGATACATTATAAAAATCACTACTCACATGATTTCTACTTTGTCCTCTTTCACTGAAGAAAGACAAAATCTAAGCGTCAGTTTACTTTCGAGCAGCAATAAAACGAGGTGCGCATTAATGAAGAATTGATAAAAGAACGCGGACCGTCGATATATATAAAAAATAGATACAGATTTTTTCGTTCTCTAATGAGACTGTCGAAAATGATAAAGAGAATAAAAACAAAGCATTTGTTGTCATTGCACAACATTTCGTCCGAAGTTCTTAATCATATTCGATTTTTGTTTCTTATAGCACACTTCTAAAAGAATAAGATCAAGTACATAAAATGTATATGTAAGACAATTAAAAATGACAACCGGAAGATTCTTTTTTTGTTTTATTGAAACAAATGCAATAGAACAAAAAAAACTTTCATCATTGAATCGGATATGTTCGAGAAGATGTGGGTGTGTGGGTGTAGAAATATGCCTATTCTTTTCATCCATATCTCACACTCACCCACACCCACATCCCAAACTAAAGCTCCATTTCTCTTTGATTTGAAAAAGAATATTTGTTGTTTAATTGATTCAATTTTTATTGAAACCATCGTTACTGAAAAATCATTCTGATAGCATAACAATTCTCGAAGATGAAATATTAATCAAGCTAATAAATTTGAATCTTATATTTAATATTATAAATATTTTTGTAGGATCGATCAAGGATAAATCGATAACGAAACAATATTAGACTGTTCGATTATTTTCTTGTATCAAAGTTCAATCTCTTATTCAATCTGTTTCTGTTAGTCCTAAGCATCAACAGAAAATCTTCATTCTCCATATAAGTCACTATCAGTTTTAGTCATTAGCTATGCATCATTCGAGATTATTGCTTGACATATGCGTAGATTTAATCTGTCTCCATTTTCAACAAGAAGAAAAGTTATCAGTAAAAAATAAAATATCAGATGGACTAAGCCGAAGAGCTTTCGTCAAGCATACTGTTTATTAGTGTCTTAGACGACAAACAAATTGTGTGATTATCAGCTTATCTAGTAGATATACAGGTAAAGAAAAATAGATTGTCTTATATATTTTCACTGTCATATGAGTGCTCTTTTGTCTCAATCATCTTGTAACTGAATCAGTTTCCAAGAACTTGTGTGGTATATGTGTTAAGAAATGATTGTTCTGTTTTCTATTCATCACTAAAGAATTATTTGTCATTAAAATTTTCTTAAACATGATTTTTAATGAGTGTTCAAGAATACTACGAGAAGTTGGAATTTACTCAACTAACGTTGACATCTTAGATTCTCGATTTAGAAAAAAACATCGAAATTACAATTGTTGAAATATATGTTCTTATGATAGTTCTAATGTTTGAAATTATTACCATAGAAAATGGAATCATAAGCAGTTAGATGTGACAGTAGTGATGCTCGTGGTTGTGAGTACTTATCTTCTTTTTATACTCAGCCACATGCACATACACACCTCAGATCAACATCCAGTTTGGATTAGGATCTAATGAACTCGATCGAGCTCAAATTAAGCTATTGGAACGCAAAACAATCATTTTTACGAATTCGAAAGAAATCCTTTTTTTTATCAAAAGGACTGATGTCAATCTTGACTAGAAAGTACTCCAGGCAAGTTGTATCACCGTCTATTTCAAAAAGTATTCACAAATTTCAAAGTTTCCAATAAATAATGAGACAAATTGGCCTGAATTCCCACACAATTTATGCGAAAAGAATCTCCAGAAAGCGAGTGTGATACACTTTAGAAAACTATAGAAATTACCTCCAGCCAAAAAATTAAAAAAATCTCGAAAACTAAAGACTTCTGTAATTTCATAGGGATTGTACTGAAAATCTTTTTAATCATGTAGAATAACTTCTCTTTTTATTGAAATGCTTCGAAAAAGGATCTAGAACTTTTTCATATAACTTATACTTTAAGATTTCGTCTCTTAATGCTTAACATTTGTTTTATGCTACCTTTTGAGTGAAGCTTGTACTCAAAAAATATTTAATCTGGCGATCTTCATGTAAAAAAAATCTTATTACTGATGTTCATTGTTCTAATAGAAATACTTTGATTGAACTTGCCAAACATGTTGGGTTAAAAGCAATAATTTTAAATGATACATTTGACAGGAGTAAAAGATTATTTGAAAAATAAACTTCAAAAAAAAGATTAGGCATTTTCTAATCCAATTATTTCGAACGTTGTTATCAGATGAAATATCAATAAACAAGGAATTCATCAAATAATTGAAATTAGTCATCATACACTTGACATTTTTGCTGTTCGATCGACAAAGAAAGAAACCAATGATAATAAACGTTACAAAAGACATTAATGAATACAAACAAGAGTTTCTATTGGAACTACGTACATCAATTTTCACAAAATACTCGTTATCTCTTTACAACAACCGATTATTTGTTTAGCAATATACGAATCATGGTGACGATTTGAACCAAGATTCGTCACACACTCAACAATTTCGGAAAGTTCTTAGTGAAATGTTCAATGAAGAACAGGAGAAATTATTTTTAAAAATTGTTTGAGGAAATAATATAATTATTTGAGTATCTTTTGGTAATTGTAGTTTATTAGCAACTGACGAAGTGTAAATAATTAATGGAATGATTCGATCTAAATGAGAATGTACATATTTTTCAGGATTATCTTGATAAGATTTAAAATTGAATATATCTTGAATTTCTAGATTAATTTCTGACTTATGTGTGAATGCTCTGTAGGTCTTTTCTTCATCCACATATCAACATCCACATCCTGAAATCAGTTGATCAGATAAGATATGTGACAAACTATGATTGGATGCAGTTAAAGCAATTCTACTTAAATTCCATTTAGATTTCACGAGTAACATTTCCTTCTTGTTTCGCAATGAAAAACTCAAAATTCGCTTATCCTTGAAGACGAATGCAATGATTATGCCAAGTATCATATCTATCGATAAGTATCAACTACATTAATATGATGCATGTCTGATTAATTGTTGTTCCATTAAAAGACACTAGCAGATCAATGATTTTCACACTTGATACAGTGCATTTTCGATGAGAATATTCCGACATGGGATACCGATTTGGAAATAGAAAAACGATAATTGTATCAAAGAAAAGTTCCTGATTATGGTTTGGGATAAACAAGCATATAGACTTCTGCTTATTTCAGCACACTCACTATCATCTTATCGTATGCTATCAGCAACGAAATTGTAAATCTTCTTCATTTTAAATGAATTTAATCATTCGTATAAGAGTACAGATGATTCTTCAAATCTCTAGTTAAAATAATGTTGGATTAGACCACTGGATATCAATATATCTAATAGATGGTTGCTGTCGCAATTTCGAATCCAAAGAAGTCAATTACAGTATTTATCAGAACCCAACGTTTCACAAATCCTTAAGTTAAGTCGAGAAACGGATCACAGATCTGATCGCAAGAATTCAAACTAACGATAGATCTGATTATCAAATTACTGAGCATTGATTAGAAAAAAAATTCCATTATTTAATCTATTGACTCGACTACTGAATATTGTTTCTATTCTTTTTTAATTTATGCTCTTTTATCCCACGATAGACGGACTTAGAAATTGCAATTTCACAATTATTGTTCGGACTGCAGACCGAGTTTTACATGATGTTTTTCATTTGTTATACGATAGGCATTCGATTGAATATATTTGTAGAAAAAAAAGACAAATCACTCTCCAAACGATTATGTACTACAACAGCATAAAAGACACCTTGAGTAATATTCATTATCGGAAGGAAGATTAGAGAATCACTTGTTCTTGTCATCACCATCGCTATCTTCACTGTCGCTTCGTTCGTCCTTCACCTGCAATAAATGAAAAAGAGAAAAAAAATAGCCAAAAAATCAAGTTTTATTTTTAATTCTTTTTCACTCAAGTAAATGAAAATTCTCATTTTCTCTTCTATTCTAACTACAACGTTCATATACTTACTCATAATCTCAAACTTAGATGAAAATAAGAAGAAAATTGATTATCGTACCTGACCACTCTTCAATGCAGTTATGGCTATTCTACATATGAGATAGAACCAGAAATAGTGAAGAACATAAAGAAGCGATAGTAATCCATTGAATACATAATAAGCAGCAGGACATGATTCAAGAATAGATACTCCTTCGAACAACGTCGTGTAGAGTATTCTAGAAGAGAGTACGAAGGATTAATTGAATGAATCAATAATTTAGTTAACTTACTTATACGGATAGTAGCAAATACGAGTGATAAACCACACAATGGCAAATATCATAAACAAAGCGTCACTGATCTGTTTTGACCGCGTGTAGATGGCCATTTTGGCGCCCTATTTAAAAAAATGGATCGATTAGACAAGGAAAAAGAAAGATTTTTGTTTGATAAAATACAAACCTCAAGCCAATAATCGGCACAGTCATGTATAACAAGTACTAGTGAGCCGACACGCACATAATTCGCAATGTAGGAAAAGGACAAAAGCATTATAGTAGCTATATGATGAAGAAACATTTGCCAAAAGTCCTATTAACAAAAACAAAATGCTCAAAAAAGTATTTTTTCCATTACAAAAATACAACGGTTTTTTTACTTATACCTTTCGTTTAACATCGATAAATTGAGAAAATAAAAGTGACCAATAGAAAGCAAGTTCGATCATGTAGTACCAAAAGATGTCTGCTGTCAGAGGTTGATTAGGATAATTCAACCAACAATGACGTGTATCCCATGTCCATGATTTCTGAAAATATAAAGAGTTAACAAATATACATACATATATATGCTCACATTTAGAAGTATGACAACACCGTAAATGAATGCACTTAGATAAAAAGTAAAACGCCAACAGGATTCACTAAATTTAGCTAGTCGAGTAATACGTGAATAGCGAACTGTTGATACCGATGAGCCACTATCATTACTGACTACTTGTTCTTGTTGGTATGTTTGATTTATATTTATTGGTTTAGAACGATTTGATACTGTTGTTGCTGTAGTTTTCATATCTTTTGTTGTATTTCTTCCAACTCGATCTTGAATACCAAGCGATCGGCCAATCGGTTTAGCAACATATCTAACAAGAAAAGAAACTGTCAATACAGTATGCAAGTTAGAATGGTATTTTTTTTTCTTTTCTACCGTTCGAAAAGCACTCGTATCACATAAATTATACCGGCCAAAGGATAAACATAGATAAGATCGTTTGGATTTGTCAACTTGATGTTTTCATCTTTTTCGAGTCGAGCAAAATCTTTCCAAGTTGTATTGCCTGCTAACCAAAAACGCTCGTTAAGAATGAACGTCCACAAAGCATCCATTTGAAATAGAGTAGTTTTCTTTTTAAAGAAAAAAATGTGACATCACGCCTATGTGTCTTATCAAGTCATTATCTAACATGAAAATATACAAAGAAAGAGAAATAGATAACAGAGATGATAGGCAACATGAATGCATTAAACATTTTGTTGTTCGTTAATATTGTGTGTGCAATGAAAAAACGAAAATAAGCCGAGGTGATGATAATAATGGTCACAAAAGAAAGAAGAATGCAACAACGAAGGCAAAGTGTTTATTTATCTGCGTAGTTACCTTTTTTTTTCTCTAGTCCTAACTTGATCTATTAAATGACAATGCATTCTTGATACAAATGGATTCTTACATTATCGAAAATGAATATTGGATTCTTGCAACGAGGAAAGTATTCCACAAGATTCTATCTAGAATTAGATAGTCAACACAGTTTTTCGTTATGAAGATACTTTCTGTTACAGTGATGTCGCACTGTTACAACTCGCCATCTATCTTCATTTCTATTTTCTTTTTTCATTTCGTTTTCTATTTCTTTCTTGGTGATACATCTAGTCTTCTCTTTTACTATTCATACATCTAGTCCCTGTTCTCTTTCTTTTCTTTTCTCTCTCTCTCTTCTTTTTTCTTTTTTTGTCGCTCACTATATATGTACGTGTTTTCCATTATTTAAAAACAGATAAAATAAAAGACGGTGTGCAAGTGTACGTATACACACACACATATACATACTTTTTTTCGTTAAAGAGAAGAGAACGAACTTAGGGTTGATCCAAAAGGACAACCCCTAACATTTGGCGACCCTGGACAAAACGAAAATCAACAACAACAACAATTTATTTTTATTTTAAAATTAATTAAAAAATATAAGAGCCTCTAATTTAAAAAAGAGACTCGAAAACCAATTGCATAAGAGCCTTGTTATATAGACTCGGGTGAAATAATTTTTATTAATTATTAATTCAACCATTAGGTAAAACAACGTCTCTTTTTTTCATAATTAATAAAATAAGGGATACTTTTCAGTAAACCGTTTCTAATGTTTTAAACATATAAAATTGGGTTGTACGTTCCCGAAAGAATTTTTTAACAAGTTTAATCTAAAAAAAAATATATATATATATACATATAAACAGAAAAAAGAAAACAATGATCAATATAGACAGAAATCTTAATACAGCACTTCATCAGTTTTCTTTTATACAACTAAACAAAAATCAGAGATTCTAAAAAAGAATTTCGTATATTCTTCAATTACATAAATCAATCTAATTAGAAATTCTAAAAGAGAATTTCGTTCATTCTTTTCAATTACATAAAACAATATAGTTAGAAATTCTAAAAAAAAAGAATTTCATTCAAGTATTCGTTATTCGTACATTGATTCATTTTTATTCAATTATTGAATTACTTGCTATTATATTTATTTATTATTACATATAATAATTTCATAACGGCTTCCGGAACAAGGCTTCAAGTTAAGAAAAATAATAGCAAACTATTTCCATATACTATTATTACACATTCAAAATCTCGTACATTTCCACATACTGATTCAATCGAAATGGAAACATCAGAAATTGAAATACGTAAAATGGTTGATCAAACATTATTAGCAAAAGCTCGTAAAGCACGATTCGATGATCTACCAAATTTTTCTGGGCATCCTTCTGAGGATGTCGAACGGTTTTTAAAAAGCATTAAAAATATAACCAAAGCAACTGATGAATCAAATAATCATGAAATTTTAGAAATTGTTCGTGGTAAACTAATTCAATCAGCTGGAACATGGTTCGATAATAATGAACCTAATTTCAAAAAATGATCGGATTTCGAAACTGCATTTCGAAATCGATATGTTTCTACAACATCAACTCACAAGAAATTTGATACATTAAAACAACGTAAACAATTACCGGATGAACCGATTACGTCTTTTTTCGACGACATTATTAATTTATGCCGGGAAATTGATTCAAATATGTCAGAAAAAATTATAATTCAATATTTAATGAGTGGAATCAATCTTGATTTTCGGAAGGAATTATTAAGACGTGAATCATCTATCAATACATTAAATGAATTTTTAAAATATGCAAAAATTGAACAAGATTTACATGATACATTCGGTAGTCTATCACTTGATTCACAACAACGTCATTTTAATTATAATCACCCATCAATTCCATCATTAACTGCTGCAGTTAATCAACCAAAACAGTATTATAATACAATGAAGTACAACAATCCTGTTTCACATTCAACACAATTACAGAGCTCCGTTTCTCAGCGGAACTCGATTCCAACACTTGGAAATCGAACATTCATGGCACCTGATAGAAAACAAATTCGAAATTATCCACCACAATCGATATTACAGAAGGAACTAAGCAATAGTCAACCACTATCACAACATCAATTCAACGACTGTAAAGTTTGCGGTCGCAACAATCATCGAACAATTGATTGTTATTATAAACGTACAACCGGATGCTTTAATTGTGGTCAAAATCACAATGTCTGTGATTGTACATTACCTTCAAATTTTCAATAGCTGGGTCACATGATGGCGGTGTTCCCAGTAAATTTATAAAGCCATCAACAATAACATCATTTCCTGTTTACATCAAGATTCGTGTTAATGATCAACCAACTGAAGCAATTGTTGATACAGGTTCCGCCATCTCAATCATTCATTTAAATTTTCTTAAAACTATTCATCACAAAAATTTTTTTTATAAAAATCATACATGTCAAACAGCAAATTCAACATCACTTAATATAATCGGCCAAATTAAATTAGAAATAAAAATCAAATCGATAACAACTTATGTTGTTGCTTGTGTTGCAACAAATTTAATTACATCAATATTATTAGGAAATGATTGGATTAATTCGAATCATGTTCACCTTTATGGTGACCAGAAAAAATTAACTATTCCTGATCAACATGATCAATTAATTTCAATTCCATATGTGGAGCCGACATGCATTAATTATCCAGCATTATTAATTCGACAAATTACTCTTCCACCATATTCACAACAATTAGTTGATATACCATGTCAAATTAACAATGCACACAATCTTATATTTGAACCTTATGAACGTCATATATCAAAATTTATTTTCATGCCACATACACATTATTAAATATCAATAAAAATCAAGCCAAAGTATTACTAATAAATGCACAAAATCGACAACAAACATTATCAAAAAATACACGAATCGGAACCATCTCCCGTGATGCAACATATACTATATATGCAACTACACAAATTCCAACAAAAAATAATTCTATTTTAAATGAACATCATCAAACATCAACTCGACATTACAATAAATTGAAATTCAGAGCTGTCTTATGTAAAAAGGACAACTCGAATCAAGAAAAATTAAATATTATTTGTCATCATTGCGATGAACATTTTTTATCTGGAAATGATTTACAAAAACACTTACGAGGAAAATGTTATTCAGAACAGATTCGACAACAAATACTCGAATCGACTAAACATATAGAAAATCCAAAACATCGATTAGAAATTCAAGATATTTTATGGCGAAATAAAATATTATTTGATCCTACACCATCAATTATTAATATTCCTCCACAATCAGCAATTAAAACTGCTGATCATCCACCTATCTATTCAGAACAATATCCAGCATCATCTAAAGATCAAGAAATTAAATTTCAAGAAACACAAAAATTATTAGAACGTGGTCAAATTGAAGAATCAACTTCACCATGGTCATCACCGATCGTTCTTGTTAAAAAAAAAGACAAAACTATGCGATTTTGTATTGATTATTGACAATTAAACGCTATTACAATTAAAGATGCATTTCCATTACCTCGTATTGATGAAATTTTTGATCAATTATCTGATGCAACATATTACACAAAATTCGATTTTAAATCTGGTTATTTCCAGGTACCTCTATCTAAAGAGGACCGACCTAAAACTGCATTCTCAACTCGTGATAATCATTATCAATTTACAGTTCTTCCACAAGGAATAACAAATGGTCCAGCAACATTTCAACGTGTTATTAACCATATATTAGGTCCTACACGATGGAAATATGCATTAGCATATATTGATGATGTAATTATATACTCAAAAACATTCGAAGAACATTTATCACATCTCAATGAAATTTGTCAAATATTAAAAGAAGCTCGTTTTCGTCTCAATCCAGAAAAATGTGAAATTGCTCGAACACAAACTAATTATGTTGGACATCGTATACAAAATGGTGAAATTCGTCCAAGTCCTACCAATATACATGGTTTACTAAATACAAGATTACCACAAACGGCAGATGAAGCTTGTAAATTTGTTAAAGCAGCGGAATATTACAGAAAATTTATACCTAATTTTTCTCAAATCGCCGAACCACTTCGAAAATTTGTTCCAACTACACGAACTCAAAAAAAGAAAGGACAAAAAACTATTATTACATTAACAAGTGCAGAAATTAAAGCCTTCGAACAACTTAAAAAATTTCTTACAACTGATCTGGTATTACGACTTCCAAATAATAGATTCCCTTTCAAAGTACAAACCGATGCTTCGGATGAGGGAATCGGTGCAGTTTTATTACAAATTTATCCCGAAGGAGATAGACCAATTGCATATTTATCAAAGAAATTTACTCAAGCACAACGTAAATGGTCTCCTATGGAACAAGAATGTTATGCTTTTATATGTGCACTAGATAAATGGCATAATTATTTAAGTGGAATTACATTTATTTGGGAAACTGATCATAAAGCATTAACACAATTAAATAAAAAAGCACAAATTAATAAACGATGTGAAAGATGGAGATTAAAAATTTTAGAATATGACTTCAAAGTGAAATATATTCCCGGTTTAACAAATTCAATGCCTGATTATTTATCAAGATCTCCAGTTGACGATGCTGAAGAAGATCCTGATGAAACTATACATCTTATTTCAAAATCAACACAAACCGATATTTCAAATGTTAATAATCATTCATCTATTGTCGCAGCTGTTGAAACTTGTGCTATGAAATTACGAAACAAAACTTTAAATGACATTCCAACTACAACAAAATTAACACCAGATTCTCTAAACACTTCTGTTGAAGAGAATCGCACAATTCCATTTTCAATTGACGAATTAATTCAAGCTCAACAAAATGATAATTACGCAAAAAATATTATAAACAACATTAAGAAATATAAAAATTATATTATTAAAAATAATCTTTTAATGCATCGATCAAAGACTCCAGTCCCTTACGTACCACAAGGTGATTTCCGAAAAACAATTTTACAAATTTATCATGATACTGCAGCAAATGGTGCTCATTTCGGAAGAGATAAAACAATACATAAAATTAAACAACGTTATTTTTGGCCATCAATGTACAAAGATATTAATAATTATATTAAATCATGTATTCCATGATGTGCACAGTTTAATCCTCGTTGACAAAAAAATCCTGGTACCTTAAGGGGACCCCCCCCCTCAGAAACGATTTTCCACTTTTGACGGTCTTTTCATGCTGAAATTTTCAGGGATGACTGATCTTGGTGAGATATACTCCTGGTAAAAATTTCAGCTCGATTGGTCATACTAGACAAGATTTCCAGCTGATTCATGAGTCATTTTTGGCCTTCAGGAGAATTGGTATAACTGCGTCATAAGAAGAGGTAGAGAGCTCGGGCTAGTTTCAAATTAAAATACATGTCAGTATGCAACTTTTGTCCGAACAGAATTTTGATATTCCGTCCTATTTGTTTTTTATGAGCATTTTAGTGCGAGGGTCTCAAAATTAGCATAAAAAATGGTAGTCCAACGACAGTAAATTCTACTTTTCTCAGCCCAGGAACCAACTTTCAAAAATCCGTTCGGACAAAAGTTTACTCTGATCAAGACCTTTAAAACAAAAAACAAATATTGGTAATAGCTCGAAAAATGAGGGAGGAGTTCCAATTTTTCTGATTGGAAATCATGTTCTGAGAAAAACATTAAAAAAGTTTTAGAAGTGGTTTTTTTCGGTCAAATTCAAAAAACTCATATTAAAATGGCATATTTTCTAAAACTATTTTAAGGCGCGTAAAAGATGCAGTAAAACTAACGCCATCTGACATGCGGGTTAATATCAAAATGTTTTATTCAATGATAATTGAAGTAATAACGGAGTTTTTCCAAAACAGAAAAACTTTAAAAAACCACGAAAATTATGGTAAGGAAGTTAAAGTCTGATTTGACAAGTCTTTGAAAAACGGATCATTTTCCAAAAACCTATATATATTCTGAAAGAGGAAGCTTCGCTCTATCTTCCTGTGGTAAAAACTCAATTTCGATATTGTTTGGAAAAAATGGTTTTTTGGGGGGGGGGGGGGGTCCCCTTAAGACCTATTAAACCTCCAGAAGGAGTATGGCAATTAGTATCAATGGATTTCCATGGACCTATTACTCCAACATCTCAACGTGGAAACAAATATATTATATCTCTTACCGATGTTTTATCAAAATTCGTCGTTACAAAGGCTGTACGTGATAATACAGCTCAAACAGCTATTAGATTTCTTAAAGAAGACATTATTTCAAAATTTGGAACTCCTCGTTGTATTCTTACTGACAACGGAACACATTTTACTTCAACGTTAAAGGATGAATTAATTAAACAAATTGGAGCTACACATTTATATTCAACACCATATCATCCCCAAACTAACGGTCAAGTTGAAAGATATAATTCAGCTATGGATGCAAAAATTACAGTTTTATCAAATTTACGTAAAACCGATTGGGATGATCAATTATCATTTGTTACATTTAATTACAATACTTCAATTCATTCCTCAACAAAACAAATACCATTCGAAATGATGTACGGTCGATCACCTGTTCTACCATTCGATCATCAAGATACAAATGTTACCTTATCATATGATTCTGAACATGCGAAAAAACTTAGTCAATTTTTATCCAAATTAAACGAACAAGCAAAAATTCATATTATTAAAAATCAAGAACGATATAAACAACGTTATGATATAAATCGTTCTGATCCAACCTACAACATTGGTGAATTAGTTCTTTGTAAAACACTCAATATCCGTTATAAATTCGATGTTCGTTATGAAGGACCATATAGAATTATTCAAAAAATTACACCGAAAACATTTATTATTCAACACGTCAAAAAATCAACATTATATCGTCAAGTTACAACCGACGTGTTATTACCAATATTTGAACGAATTTATTAATTACAGGACCTCTAACAAAGAGATCCGTAATACCAATATGTCAAATTAAATGGAATAATTATTTATTAATCAATTAATCTAATTGGATTTAATTTAGCATGGCATGATCGGGATGTGTGCCTTTCCCCAACTCACTGATTATGAAGGGCTATTATATTTAAATTAGACCATATTTTTCTTATATTCTAATTATTCTACGATACGAAATTCATCATTGAATACAATTATTATTCAATTATTCTTATCAGATTCTTAACCTAGGCACTGAGAATCGAAAAGAGAAAGCTAGATTTCGTAACATATATATGTATATTAAAAAAAAAATATCTATTCCTTTATTTTCATATTCAAAAAATTGGATTTATATAATTGGGACTAGATTCTTATTTCCTACAAGAAATGATAATAAACAAATTACAGATCCACTATAAAAGTGAATCAATATCTATTATATTTTTTTTAATTTTATTATTATAGTCATGTTATCCGAAGAAGAATATCAAGATGCTATATGGAAATTCAACAACACACCATCAACTATTACTGGAAAACCACGTCAACATCTTCGTGCTATATTTCGAGAAAAAATCCATGAACATGAACTTGCATCTCGTTATCCACCATTTGAACCGTTAAGTTATAAACCATTTTATATTAATTGCAAAACTACCGAACAAACATTAATTCATCTTATCGAAACAATAAATGATTCAGATTTATTTACATTAGATGCTGAATCAATATGCATTCCCAAAAAACCAAATGAACCGGCACTTATACAATTACAAATAATACAAAAAAATTTATTTTCATATGTTATATTTGTTGAAGTTCGTCATTTACCAAACATGCATGAACGAACATTCATTTTAATTCAAGAATTATTTGTTGCATTATTTAATTCAAATAAAAATATTTATATTTGGGGTTCTATTGATGAATTAAAAAAATTTCTCAATTTCAATTTATTTTCATCTAGTCAAATTTATTTGTCAAATAATATTAACCTACAAGATGAATTTAAAATTTTTTGGAAGCAACACCATCCTCATAAACCAAAAGTATCATCAACTAATGATAACATCCTATGCATATGTGAAACATGTTTAGGTATTCAACCAAATAATCCTTGGTCATTAAAAAATGCCGTGGCATATCAACTCAATCAGTGGTTAGATAAACGTCGTTCCCGATCACCATTCGATATAGGTCTTGATCCAACATTAGTTCATTTAAATTCCAAAGAACTTGCATATCGACAAACAATGACAACATACGCTGCCAATGATTGTTTATCAATGCATCACCTTATTATTAACATGAAATTAATCGAACAACAAGAACCAGCAAATGAATTATCTACTGAACCTGATTATGATATTTCAATGTATTCGGATTCATCAGACCCAAATGATTTAATTGTATTACCAAATGAAAATTTTAAAATCAATCAATCATCAAATTTAAATCAACAAAACAATCCTGATGTAGAAGAAATATCCTCTAATGATGATGAACCTGAACAACCATATCAACATATAAATATAAATAACTCGTCACATAATGAATTTCAATATGAACGTGCAAACATATCCAATGAACAAAAACGGAAAATTCATAATCGTACATGTACTTTAAAACAAAGGAAAAAATTATATAAACATGAAATTATAAGAAGAGGCATCGATCGAAGATTTACAATTACATTAGTCAAGAAAATTCTTCGTGAACGTTCTATAAATTTTGGTGCTTTAAATATTTCAACATCTTCTTTAACTAATCGTACATCATTATATATTGGTATAAAAAATCCAACATTACTATCTAAATACGAACGTGAAACTAGAAATCTATTTTCTACTGATCATTACAATGAAATTCATTCACAACAACGTCGATCGAACTCAAATATTCATTATTCTCATCATCATCATCAACAACACAAATAAATCATAATCATGAATCATAATATCAATTTTATTCTAGTATAAACAACATCATTGCAGATCATCTTATAAGATGATCGTTATATACTATAATTCTATTACTAAATTATTTCTACAAAAGCCATCTACTTATATTATTTATCTTATATGAATCATAATACATTGATCAACAAATACGAAACAATACACAATATGTCATGTCCATGCGATGATCCATTATCGGTTAATTTTTTTTCATACTGTCACGATATCTATCTAAACTAGTCGTTTTCTTCATTATTTTATAAACTATTATATTTTTTTTTCTCTCTGGAAAAAGTTTTCTATTTTCTTTTGTTATTTTTCGTTACATTTGTATTTCTACGTTTATTATATGTAAACTTATATATATATAAAAAAAAAAAAAAAAAAGAAAAAAACAGAAGTTTTTCACATACGTCATATTTTAGTTTTTGTTATTTTGTTACTTTCTTTCTTTCTTCATTTATCGTTTAACTATTTATATTGTTATGTTTATTTTGTTGTTTCATTTACTGTTATGATATTTATCGTTGTTAGTCCTCTCTGGGAAAAAATGTTGATAGGACACATTTTTTTGTCCAATATGGGAGTATGTTACAGTGATGTCGCACTGTTACAACTCGCCATCTATCTTCATTTTTATTTTCTTTTTTCATTTCGTTTTCTATTTCTTTCTTGGTGATACATCTAGTCTTCTCTTTTACTATTCATACATCTAGTCCCTGTTCTCTTTCTTTTCTTTTCTCGCTCTCTCTTCTTTTTTCTTTTTTTGTCGCTCACTATATATGTACGTGTTTTCCATTATTTAAAAACAGATAAAATAAAAGACGGTGTGCAAGTGTACGTATACACACACACATATACATACTTTTTTTCGTTAAAGAAAAGAGAACGAACTTAGCGTTGATCCAAAAGGACAACCGCTAACACTTTCATCAGTTAATAGCTGTATCTTCTTCTAAATTTAAATTTTATTCGAGCAACAATTATCATGCACTCATTCTTGTAGAATTGAACAAAAATGGATTGCTTTTGAAAGTATAAACCGAAACATAATGTAAGACGAACAAGAAAAGAGAAAAGTACAACAACTAGGATTTTCTCATAAAAATTGAAAGAGATGGTTACCTTCGCTTTGAAACAATCGAAATTTATCAAATGTATATTTGTAACTATTTGAATAATCATTCTTAAACTATCACTCCATATTGATATATATATATCCAATGGGAACAAAGCGGCTAGACATTCAATCTCATTAGAGTAAGAGTCGAAAATCGACTGAAATCAACGACCAAAAGAAAACTATTCCTTTTACTCTCATTGCGGCACCTAATGATTCATGTCTTACTGTGTTGTTTAAACACTTGACGGTTGTGTCTTTTTTTCTTTATTCTGCTACCGAATTCATTTCACGGTCACGCATGGCTTCCTCATCGTCAAAACATTCGCGTTGTGCGATATGTGACAATGGAAATGGGACTTTTATATGTCGCGGATGTTCACGTGATTTCTGTTTGTCTCATATATATGAACATCGGCAGTCACTTGGCAAACAAATGGATCAAGAAGTTATACGTATACATGATCAATTACAACAAAATCTCAATGAGTGTGGGTGTCGGTTTGTGATTTTGATTTAGAGAAGAACCACACTTCACACCTCTGTCTGAGCGAGAATAAAATTGAACGATAACGATTATCGGTACTGTATGACCTTGATTTAGATAGTGCAAAATATTAGCGAGATATTTTTAAAGATGTTGATAAATAAGAGTCATATCAAGAGTATAAAAATTGATATTCAAATATTGCACGATAACGTCGTGATGTTTTAAACTTTCAATGATATACAATCGAATCGAATGTTTTTCATCATTGTAGATTGTCTATTAAAATAATGCTTAGAATACAAACAGAAATAATCAGTCGGTTTCGGTTGAGGAAAACACTGATCATTATTCAAATAAGGCTTCAAATCACATCAATAATCGATCATGCTAATTAGTCATAGACAATAGGGCTGATCGATGCTACTCGGGAGACTTCGATAATTCGGTTTGCATAAAACATTTGATGAATAGAAACCTTGTTTGCACAACTCATTCAATATGGAACAATTGATCCCTTCAAGATTGTTCAAATAAAGACAAACGTAACTGGGATTCTTGTGGAGAAGTCGATGGCATTCTTGATCATCAAGATAAGAATTGCTCTTTCATGGATTAGTAGAGAAATTGTCTTGCTCTAATCTTGCACTTTAGACAAAATGAAACGATGGAAGAAAATTGAAAATAGATCGGATATTTCCGTAGAACAGCCAACTAAACTTTTTCATTGATTGTCAATTCGAACGCTTCAATACGAATTGAACAGCAATGTTCATCAATGATATTCGATTGATTCAAATATTGAACATGTTTGTATTATAGAAATTAATTCGGTCAAGAACAAAGTCAATGATTGATATATTTTTTCTGAATCATGAGTAGATCTATGGGTCGAATATGTAAAGGGACTGTCTACAATGATTGATTATTGAACAAAAGTAGAATCAATAAGTTTAACATGCTTTCACGATTAGTTGTTTTTGTGTAGATTGATTGAATTATTTGATGATTGAACACCAACATTCTGCTAGTATTAAAATCGAAACAATGAAGAAACAAGCTTCGTTTCTATGATGAAATTGGAGGAATGATATTTCTGATTTCAGTACAATTGATATCACTAACTTCTATTAGAAATTGTGGTGAATTAGCTTCGTTTTTTGTTTCTTGAATCGATCGGTCTTTGTTTAGACAATAAAATCTAGTGGTCAAATTTAATAAAACATTTTTTTGACGAATACAAATATTCTCATATTTTACCATACTAACAGTTGCATTTACCGTTCCAACAGCCATTTTTTGCACATTTCCGATTTAAACACACAAAATTTGACGGCGATGAACTCTCAAGTATTTTCTGATGATCAAGCCATTGTGGTTGATGACAAACACAGATCTGTTCGCAACACATGGAATAGGATATACATTGGTCATTCGTCGAACATTTATAACGATAAATCAACATGGTTGGTAAATAACAGCATATGATAGTAGTGTTACATTTCTTCACAACTTCCAGCACAGCCGATATGTTCATCTCTGTTTTGTTACTGATCAATACACAGTCGATAATGACTAATATTCAATGCATCTGATGAATCGAATCAAAAACAAGGATATTCGTTAGATAACCGGTAAACATTCCAAAGTGATTGATTCTTATCCAGAATATTGAACTCTTCTAGAAGGATTGATTCATGGATGAGTTTTAAATTTCGATTAAAAAAATGAGATTATCCAATACAAATAAAGCCTTTTGATCTGAACCATTCTGACAATTCCATTCTTCATCTAAGACCTATTCAAAATCGATATATTGTTTCGTTAGACATCGACATTGTGTATTGAGACATAACTACTATTGTACCGAAATTTCATAATATATTATCACAATAAGCACGAAATTATTCGGATATTACACAATTGTGTCACTGAGTTTGTGAACCAATAAATATGCTGGTTGTTCGATAGAACATCGAAAAATCATGCCGTTGTACACTGCCACACACTTCCACAAAATGATACGGACGATAATTGACGGCTTCAGATCATTGAAATAATTGCGATTGTAATTCATGTTCATTACGGCAGAATGACTGGAAGCTGAGGAACACAGTTGGGCTTCAATTAAATGAAAAGATAAATCATTTGTGTAGAGTTGTTTCAAAACGCTGATAGGTTAGATATCATCGACATTTGGTAATAACATTGATTCGAATAAAATCCGACCATTTTGTAGACTAATCATATTATTCCTTGTGATTGATGAGGATGTGCAATGCGACAATGTCACTATTCGGATATTGAATCCATGGTATATTACATGAATTATAGAGATAATAGGATGCGCGATAGATCGGATTTACGAGGACAATTCTTTTCTGCTCCTTGTGACAAAGCACATTTAATGAAATAGATACACTCGTCGATTGTGGTATGATTTCAAGCAAGAGATTTTTCGTACATCAACTCTGACAAGCAGTTCCCATTAGACAAAGGCCATTAATTTTGTCGGTTATGCAATTCATACATGCGATATTGATTGAGAATGTTGTTGCATTCTTTCTGAATTGTGTATGTATCAAACAATCCTGTTCAATTTTGTATGCATCATCCATCATCTCAAAACTGTTTGTTGGGAAAACCGAGTCGATCATGACAGATCAAAACTAAACTTTTTCTATATGTGCATTTCCTATTATCAAACTGTTGCTTTTCATCGGTTAAATCTGAACAATCATATTCATCATCGAAAAAAATACTTATTCAGGATAGACATACCATTCACACGTCGATATTTATCGTCGTCACATTCGTTAAATTCGAGTTTATCACAATGCTTTTCATCGTAGCTGAATGCCATGGCAAATCTCGTACCAATTGAGACACAGCAGACCAAAAAGACATCGTAAGGTTGTATAGTAGACAATATCTGCATAAATCTGCATCTGTTATAGATTCATATTTTTCATTTCAATTATCCCAAAGAAGATTTTCCGCAAAAATTCTGCGTCTTGAAAACAAATATTCATAATGGTTTCTAAATGGTTGAGAACGCTGACATTTGCACAGTTAGTTTTTCTCATTTTTATCGATTGACTACATTGATTTCCATTATCGGTGGTAGCCGGAACACTTTTCAATCTTTTCAATGCTAGATTTTTATTGATGCAAGATTGTACTCACAGAAATATTGTTTTATATGAGGAAAGGAAATGGGTCTCGTTTACTACCGTTATAATAATCTTCTGTAAAATGATGATGTTACTAAGTGGTCGATTTGGACGGACGACGACAATAAGATTGACTGTTATGCAAAATGCAATCGTAGAATTCGATCGAAGCCAAAGCTACTTTTTCTGTACACCTATTAATCCTAAGGAATGGCGGTAATCTGTTTGAATCTTATAATCATCTGAGTAGAGAAAATACAGCATCTTTTCTTTGCTAGTCTTGACAATGTGCTTATAAATGTAAAATTGTTTCAGCAGAAACAGTTCAAGCCAATAGGCGTGGATTCTTTTCAGCATTATAGGAATTGTAAACGAGTGCTTTCTTTGAAGAAGTATTACTTATACGATAGAATCAAACACAAGAACTAAAATTTAAGAATCTTCATGCTTAATTGAAAAAATTCTGAATTCGAGACAAATACAAATTACACTACTCAAAACCAAACAAAGGGAACACGCATACTGATGAACGCATAGTAGCAATTACAAATTGAATAATCAATCAAGAATGATTTGATCTTCAAACATCGAAAGAAAATGAAGTCAATCATGATACGTCGCAGAGTACGAAGGTTTTCTCTTCACTTACATTCAGTATATCGCAAACTGGCTTATTATGAATACAGGAAATGAAAAACAATGATTTTTTTGTCAAGAATTGCATAAATAGAAATAAATATTACATATAACAAGGAAATATTTGATGAAGACAATAATCCATTGATAAAGTAAAATTTCCATAGTCGAATAACCTTTTGCTTTTGTGAAATAATATGCTGATGACGACAAGAACCATTGTCAATGTGCTTCTACTTCACGTTCTTTGTTGTCGACTACATAAAAAACGTGCCTTTTTTATGAGAACCAAAGCAAATATCATATATGTTGAATAATAGAAAGAGAAGATTCGGTTCTCTTCTTCTTTTTCTGCCAAATGTTATAGCTTTAGCATACGATTACATTGCAATGTCGAACGAGACAGGTAAAAATATGAGTCAGTCACAGGCTGCTTTTTTCTGTGTAAAATTTCTTAAAATTCATTTTCTTGTAGTCCTACTCAATTCTAAACTTAGTTTGAAAAAATGGTTTAATTAGCTATAAACGAAATCTCATGTTCTTGTCGACTAAAAATTTTCTTCTGAATAAAGTTTTTCATAAAATTGTGTTCACATCTTTACGAGAAATTTAAATTTTAAAACTCATCGTTTACAGTTCACATTTCACAACATGATCAACAAGATCCATGTATAATCGTTGACGGCATAAATTGGTTCTACTATTGGGATGTAGAAACTCTTCTCTTTGGCCTTAAATATCAAGCACGATCGGATGATTTATTCATTGTAACATATCCAAAAAGTGGAACGACATGGATTAAAACAATTATTTATACTCTATTGACAAATGGACAACCATTTGACATTGATTATAAAGATTTTTTTGAACGATTTCCCTATGTTGAATTGGATGATGAACAAGCGATTATCAAGATGCGACGACCAGGTGCTTTGAGATCTCATTTACCAATGAATCGTATTCCATACAATTCGCAAGCAAAATATATTTGTGTGATTCGAAATCCAAAAGATGTTTGTGTATCCTACTATATATTCTACAATACATGGGGTGGTGTACGTCGTTTGAATTTTGATCAATTCTTCGAACTTTTCATTCAAGGTCGTCTACCATTCAATGATTATTTTGAATGTCTTCGATTAACTTGGGAACGACGTAATGATGCAAATGTCCTTCTTGTTTCTTACGAAGAGATGAAAAGTGACATACAAAATGTGATAAAAAAAGTGAGTAAGCTCAAAAAAATGAATATTAACTGTCAATCGGTGATTCTCTAGGACACAATCGACAATTTTTAATTTTGTTACTTGTAACTCATTGAGATAATTTCTCAAATATTTGAAGATTTTTCTAATAGACGTTGGAATTAGATTTTTGTTTTCTATGAACTGAAATCTTTACTCTTCTTGAAATAAGAAAGAAATTGACTTAATATAATTAATGTCATTATAGTCGCGAATCTTACAGATATAAGTGAAAATAGTTATTTAGTTGGATGTGACGTTGAACATCTTCAAATTACACTCAACATTATCTTCATGTCATTTCGAGCCTATAAGTTATATTAAAGATTGTATTGATTTCTACACGAGAAAAATTTTAGAATAACATCAAGAAATAATGATTCAAAATTTCAAGAATTTTCTAGGGGTGGGAAGTTACCGTTACCCGGGAGTTACGTTACCGGGTAATTAGTAACTCAAAAGTTACTAGTTACCGAGTAACTAGTAACGCCGGAGTTACCAGTTACCAGGTAACTAGTAACTTCGAAGTTACTAGTTACTTTTTGTAGGTAACTTGTCTAAAAAGTCGAGATATCGCTTCCTAATGACTGAATATCATCTATTCATCACTCAATTAAATTACGAGTTACTTGGTAACTAGTAACTCCTATGTGCGTTACTAGTTACTCGGTAACTCGTGAGCTGAATAAGTACTGTAATGATGGTATTCACTCATTAGGAAGCGATATCTCCACTTTTTAGACAAGTTACCTACCAAAAGTAACTAGTAACTCCGACGTTACTAGTTACTCGGTAACTAGTAACTTGCGAGTTACTAGTTACTTGGTAACGTAACGGTAACTTCCCACCCCTAGAATTTTCTCATCGGTATCTTTTTCTCCTCTCTAAATTCATAATGATTTTAAAAGTATTCATCAATTTGATCTTTAATAGTAGAATAGATACAAATTAACAAAGTTCAAAGTACAAATTACAAACTATTTATTGAACATAAAATTTTCTAGTCAAGAAATGAGAAACGTACATATGGGTCATTGGGAAAATAGTTTCTTTTAAACTATATAAATTTATACAAAATACAACTCTACAAGCAAATATGCAAGCTTAAAAGTGATCTTTATTATTTATGCTGATGTTATCAAAATCCGTAACAACTCTTATTTTCTACGTTAAGTTCTCACGTAGAGCAAACAATAAGTCAAAAGCAACGAAAATTCTTCAAGGATGCAGTTAGAAAAGGCATTTCAGTACATGTCCATACTTTTTACTGGACTGATTCATAATAATTAGTAGACATCATTTTGTGAAGCATAACTGGTAATGATTATTGAAGAATAGAATGAGAAAGTTTTCTCTTTCCCTTCTTAAAAGCCGCAACATACATGTTACTGTCTGTCATGGTCCGTCATTGTTTTGAGGAGTTTTTGGTATGGCAGTCTTTGATCCTTTTAAAACTTCGACCAGATCTAGTAAGTTCTCTCTCTGTCATAATCAAAGTAGCTCTATCGTATTTCACATTTTATTTCCGTAGAGAAAATACTGAAAGGTTTTCGTCGATAGAAATCTTTTCTTTTAAATCGGTCAGTTTTTATCTGATCCTATAGAAAATTTCTTATTCTGTAAAATGATGAAGTTTTTTCGTAGAGAAAAAGTTCATCTGCAAAATTCAATTTTCTGTTGACATTCAATTCGGTTTGTTACACTGTTAGGTAAGTATTTGACATAGACTGATTGTTTTGGAGAAAAGCGCTTCAAATTGACATTGAGTGCTATGATTACTCAGTAGATTTAATGTCGAGAAGAAATGATTACTCTAGTCAGATTTATTCCATCAAACTTTCACTTTCATACTATTGAATGCAGTACTAAATGTATAACTCTGTGTAGCAATAAATTGTCTATGGAATGACTTTGAAGCTGAGTCTTGAACATTAAATCAACCATTTATTAGTGTCACACTCTTTCAAAAATATACATCTCATACAGCTTTAGAGTATCACTTGCATGTTGTCAAGTTCGATGATTATAGTCTTACTTCTGGACGAAATCTCAGATACATATTGATCAATATTCTGATGTATTATTCTAGGTAGCTACTTTTATCAACATTCATTTGACCGAAGAACTTCTGGATAAAGTCGTTCTTTACTCATCATTCGACTATATGAAGAATAAGTACGATGATGAGCGACAAAAATTCGAAACTACATATATCGAGGAAATCGAAGATGAAACTGTTCGCGCTCGAATGTTGAAACAATTTGATGGTGAATCCAATATGGAATCAGTACGCAAAGGACAAATCAACGATTGGAAAACGTTTATGTCTCCAGAACAAAGTCAACGAATTAAGAATAAATTTATCGAAACGTGTCAAAAATGTGATGGTCTCGAAAGTTACTGGTCGAAATGGAATATTTTTTGAAGTATTGATCAATATTTATGAAGAGAAGAACCTCAGTGCCACTCACTGACTCATTCTCAGTCACCTATTTTAGAAAAAATGAACAGGGATATGAGATCACGAGCATTTTTCTGATATTGATAGTTATCAACTTAGTATTTTTGTATAAGGATGCATCGTATTTGATGCTCATTGTCTCTATTTATTCAGCCTCTTATTTTTAACATTCACACGAATTACATTTTTCGACTTACACAAATTGTTTATTTGACCAATAATTAAAGATTTTATTCTTACTTATTTTATAATGATGAGACAACTACTCTTATCTAATAGTCGTTATCTTTATTAACTTCGTAGAGTCCAGTCTTGAAATTCGGTAGGTGCAGGTAAAAATGAGACCCGCACTTGCCTATTCACCTTCAACTACTGCACAAAAAGATCGATATTCATTGACTCGGTTAAAAATAAATATTCTTTTGGATATATCAAGATGAGCAACAGATTTTGAGATGAATATTCTAATTGAAGATACGATAACTACAACAGGAAGAGTATTGAAGAAGATTGATTTTCATTACGATTTCTTTCCACTATTTGTCAATAAAATATGTAGTCGAGAAGAAAACTAGCAATTCTTTCGAGTGAGTGAGAATGTCAGCAATTCTTTTATTGATTTACTCAATGACGATTATTGCATACTTTTACTCATTGGTAGATTTAATGGATGCTGTCAAATAAGACCTCATATTGAAACTGTTTCTACCATGTATAATAAATGGGACGGTGTGACTATGATAGAAGAGAAGACCCCCGTCGTCATCCACACCCTACTGAGAGTGCTTCGTAAAGATTGATTTCTGTTATAGAATTTTACATTTACGGCATGTAAGATGAAAACGATCAGTATAAAAATTCATGTACTTCGGCACACTCTTGTACATTCAAGGAACGATATGTGAACTGTCATAAGTCTATTCGTTCACTTCTCTTTATACTGAACTAATTAATTTATATGGAATCACTTTAGATGTGGGTATTAGTTTCAGATATTCACACCCTCTCTATCTGTCAACAAGTCAATAATGAGCAGAATCAAATTTTCAGCTTACAGACCAGTGGTTACCGCTGATGTGACAAACAAAACATATTGATAACTTTTTTCAATAGATTCGGTCTTATAGAAACCGATACAGAATCAAATTCGCTATTCAATGAGGCTAATATGAAATGGAAGCATCGCTACTATCGAAAGTAATTAGCAAGATACCTAATGATTTCAACAACCATGTCAACGATGAAGAACAAAGGACCTTATTTTAGGTCTATATTACTTTAGATATCATCGAATCGATCTGAATTTGCCACTAAAAGACTCAATAGAAAATCCTGCATCGAAAAATATATGAATTATTAACATTAAAAGGATGATCAGTTTTGTTGTCTTATATGGCACCATCCTTTAGGGGTATTACTAATTTATGCAAACAGCACAAACACCCAACTTTGTACAACC